GGGAGTGCACGACCACATGACGCCCTACGTTATGCTATTATGTTAAGACTTTTGTTTTCAAGCAGATGGAAGGATTCTTGTTTATTTCTCCTTGCGCCGACACATGTAGTTCCACAAGGATTCATTTTGCTATGTTGCAAAGTAACATGCATTAATCCTAATTGATAAAGCCTAATGTGTGTGAACATGCAGACTAATGAGTGTGTCTCAGTCTTACAGCTTCGATGAGCACTGGTGTTTATGTGCACTGAGTGGTTTTTAGATTAGCTCCATTGTGCATAATTCTACAATATGTCTTAGCCAACCACAGGGCTTGATCTCAACTAAAACATGCATGACGCGCAGCCATAGGCTAAAATTCTGTCTGGGAACGCCCACTTTTGGTTACATAACTAATACTTAAAGCCCATGCCCCACTCCCCTCTACCAATTAAACACCATAGGAACAGTTTCAGACAGTGTCCTTAACCTGAATTTCTTCTTTTCTTCCTTCACAGGCAGCTACAGGTGACTCAGCGGTAAGGAATAATCAGACTTACTTATTTTTTTGAGCATCTGTGTCTTATTCAAATAAATAAAAATTAAAAAACACAGTTAGCCTACACACCCACCAGGGGTCAGTAGCACCCCATCAATAAGATCCATTGGCTGACATGCTCAAAGTAATCACCCTGTGTGCTCCTTCTCTCTGCAGCCCAAGAGGAGATCTCTCAGGTTGAAAGATGTAAGTACAGACAAGCCCAGACTGTCACAGACAATATGCACGCTGTCAGCTGCATTCTTAGTGCTGACACTGATGCTTTCTGTCCCCACAGAGACCTGCTGCACCTGCAAAGGCAGAGGCCAAACCCAAGCCAAAGGTGGGACCTGGTTTTGATTGCATCCGATTTGACTCATTTATTAGACTCAACTTTTGAAAGAGTGACTAATGTGGTTAATATTGCTGTTTGCAGAAGGCACCTGCTAAGCCTAAGAAAGCCAAGGAGGTGGAGAAGGCCAAGCCTGAGGAGAAAGCACCAGAGGCCCCTGCTGAGAATGGAGAAGCCAAAGCTGAGGAAGAGGTGAGCCCCATGACATCATACATAAGCATGGTAAACAAAGCTCCATGGTGATGGCACTTTGACACTCTATAACTTCTTCCAGGCACCAGCTACAGACGCAGCTGACGAGAAAGACGAGGCAGCAGAATAACATCTCTCAGACTACGTCTTTTACCAGTGCTCCCTGTACCTCTTTTCTTGTACAATTCAGGGGAATATTTTTATCAACTATTTTCTAAATACAGGTTTTTTAGTAGTTTGATTGTAGAGAACACTTTTTTTTAATGAAAGAAAAAAGTCAATTTGGAGACGGGAATTTCATCACATCCCACAATTTTTGCATCGCCATAAAAAAATTGCGGTCATTGTTGTTACTGTCGGTGGATTTCATTTCAGTTTTAAATGTGAAGGAGGGGAGGGTGTGGGACAGGCTACCGTTTCAACACGCAAGCACGACATTCACAGGAGCTGGGGCAACAACGGCAAGAGCTTGCCTGCGTGGATTACATTCCATATGCTTTATAAGGGACAGTGTATGTAATCTGTGCTGGGGTGGGAATGGACAAAGTCACAGGGCAACTCATTGTTTTATTGTTTATAATGAAGAACAGTGTTTTAGAATGTTTGTAAGCTTTGTTCCTATATGTTAACTCTTGTACTCATGCAGTTTTCTTAATGAATCTGATCAATAAAGCTAAAATCCCTAGTACTGGAGCTCTCCCTATCAGAACTGTGCATTGCGTGTGTTGGTTGTGTCTCTGTTCTGTGATAGCATCGCAATAAATTTGTATAGCTGCTGTGAAAAAGGTTTTCAATCTTTCTATATGCAGTGTGTAATGGTACATTGTAAGGATGGTAAAATGGAATTTGTTTTCTTAGCCAAGCTAATGAGGTGTGTAACCATAAAAAAAAAAAAAAACAAGTGTTGAGACTGGCTTCTTAAAGGCCAACAGATAAACTGTACATTTATTTGAGATGTCAATTGCATACCAGCAGTAGCAATATTCATGTGAGTTTTAGGTATCTGTATCAAGTACAAGTGTGCAGTTTCTTTTTATTTGTTTATAGATGTACCTGTGTAATGATTGTTATCAACAAACCAATAAAACTCGGTTGGTAGTTGTTACGCTGTTTCATTCTGAAAGGTTGGTTAATTATTAAGGTTGCTGTTGCAAGAGTGTAGAAGAATGAACTGTTAACTGAAAGGCAAAGCTTTAAAAATACTTTACAGGTTTCAAATTCTTCCCAAAGAGGCTGTGAAATGTGTTCTGCCAGAAAATATGTCATAACAGTTCAGCATTGATAGTGATGTATATACTCCACCTTACTGCTCATTTTAAGCAACACAGCTCAGGGTTCACTAAAAAATGTCTATTAACTACACAATCGATTTCCTTAAAAATAAAATGGTGTTGATTAACATCCACCTGTTATTTCATCCAAAAAAAATACTGGTTCTGATTAAATAGATAAATAATGATAAAACAATTGAAAACCCCAAAATGCTCAGGAGGTTCACATACTTTGAGGCAGCACTGTAAGTGACAGGTCACTAAATGATCACAGATTTAGAATGCACTGAAGGAAAATAAGGACCAATTTGGTAAATGTTTCTAAAATATAACACACATGAGGATTTTAGTATAAACATCTAATTCATTGACAAATATAGGCTAAACATGTATTTAGAACTGTGCGTTTTGGTCAAGGTGTAATAGAAAATGTGCATATGTAGAGGACACGTTCAAAGACAATGCAGATTGAGCCCAGTCCCTGGTGTGGACTAAAAAGGGCAACAGAGAAGTGAAGTATTAGTCAAAGCATGATCTGGACGAGCATATTGTTTAACTCTTCTAAAATAATATTATTGATTGATTGATTGATTTTACGTATATTCAAAATCATTCAAATGTGCCCGGTCCCATGTAAAGCCAGACAGTCTCATAATATTGACGCTCTGTCCCAGTAAAAGCAGATGAGACAGTTTCAGCACCATGGACAGCTTCTTCCTCTGTGGACACTTTATCAGCTGCTGTTATTCCTCCGCCGCCCTTTCCTTTTTCCTCCTTCCTCCCATCACAATGCATTCACACCAGTTCTCACCATATCATATTTAGCTTGTTAGTAAACAAACCGCCAGGATTGCGCGCGCTTACGTATCTCTGATGCAATGGCGGCAGCACGTTCCCTTCTGGCTCTGCTGTGATTGGTCGGCAGAGGGAGGAAGGAGGAAGACTCACTTTGCATAATGAAGCTGTCAGATGCTCTCGTATCTACACAGAACACAAGCAGCACATCTTTGTGTCGTTCAGTTTGTATTTTTCATATGTTGTCCGTGTACCATACTGCCTCTATACTGTAACTGCAGCAGTGAAAACGGATGGAACCAATGTGTGAGCGGTTCTTTTGAATACTGATGCTTTATTGAAGCATGCAGCGATCACTCTTTAAACGGGAAAGACAAATAGTCGCCTTGATAGGAAATTTACATTCACCAGTGAAATGCATCTTCCAATAACAGTGGGCATATTTCTTATTTCCCCTCTCCACGTGACATCTGGTGGAGAAATGTCTTTCTTTATTTGTTGACCTAAGCAGTCAAATTCATTTGTACTGAACTGTATTATATAAATATTCACATATGCTCAAAATGTCCACCTCAATGCATTATTAATATATGAATTTTAAAAATACTACTGCGCCACAGCTTCGGCCTTGTATTTACTCCAACAAGTCTTAGAATAAATCTGACTAACATACTCACCCCAGGTTGCTAAAATGTTTCCAGGACATGAACTCGGTGTGGTAGCTACAACCCGGAAGCGAAGAAGATACTACAGGTAGTTTTGATGAAGGCTGCTCAATATGCTGTAAACATGACAACATATCATGTCCAGCAGGTGGAAATTACTGACTGGAAATCAGCCTGACACTGGCAACACATTGATATAAAGCAGTGGTTCCCAACCTGGGGGTCACAAGGCCTTCTTGATTTTACAGGGTGTGAGAAATCTTTAAAAATATACACAGTAGGCCAATATATCAGCATCTGGTTCACTTCTATGAAGAAATGTGAAGTAAATTGTCTAATAGAACAACCAAGCGAGAAAATAATATAATCTGTCAGAAAAGAAGCCTCTGAAGTGTGTATGATTGTTAAAATATAAAACAATACATAATACAAACAGATAATTGTATAAAAAGTTTCCTAAACAGGAAATAATCTGCTCAAAATTCATCCAAACCACTCGTTTTCCACAAACTTCTTGCAGTTACTGAGTTCACTAATTGGGTTGAAACAGTTTGAATATGAAATATATACAAGTTTTGGTTGTTTTAATTGTTCCCCTGGTCCATACTGGCCACGAAGAAGTCCCTTCCTAAAGCTTCTTTAATGGAAGTGATGGGGGACAAAATCCTTAGAATCATGCAAAAATGCATTCTGAGATTCAACTGAAGCTGTGAGGATTCAGCAGTCTGAGTGAAACCATAAATTGGCTATCCCCCACAGTTAGTCTTTTTAATAAAAAGAAGCATCCCTCTCTCTGCTTCCCTGCTTACAAACTTTCATAGTAAAAAGACTAACTGTGAATGCTGCTCACATGATTTGTGGAACTCTGCTGAAGACTCATATTAGTTTCAGTGGAACTTTCAAATGCAGTTTTCCACATAAGGACTGTCCCTTATTACCAGAATCGCATTAGGAAATGATTTCTTCATGGCAGGAACCATTACAGCAACCATAAACTGTTCCAATGTATATATGGACATGTGAGTATGTTGATTTGAAAAAAATGTGTGCCTATCCTTTAGCCATTAGCAGACATTCTCCTTCCAGCTTTAGGAAGGTTTATGCATCTTTAGTGCCTTTTCAGAAGTGGCTGAAGCAAGAGGCCAAATCTCACAGGCTGTGGGTGCTAAACTGCACTACAGCCAGTTCACAGAGAAACATAAACCAAACAAAGAAAACTTCACATTTATTAGATGTCATCCGTATAATTCCAGTAAGATCTAGACATGCCAACATGGCACTGAGTGCAGACCCATTATTATTGAACTCACAGATTAAAGAGATGAGAAAGGTAACTGTATATAATCCAGCATTGTAACTACTGTACATAACCACAGTGGTAGTGATAAAACACCTGTAGCAAAGGTGTGATGTTGACTGATCTTAAAAAAACATGTCAGATCACAAAGGCTGACATGGTCTAAGGAGTCTGCATGAGTGTTATACTCTCTACCATGAAGCACAGAACTGTGTATAAAAATATCACGATCTCTGATTACTTAATTTCAGTGACATAATGAGCCTGGTACATTTTTATAAATACTTGCAGTATTAGTGAAATGACACGCTACCACATTTTTGTGCAAATACCTAGACAGATACTAGGCTAGAATATACAGGCCCATCAGTACACATTCAATAAGTTAGATATAACTGACTTCCATGGAAGGCAAAGTATGCAGAGAGCAGCACACACCCACTTTATCTCCAGAAAATCTACTCTTCATGTCCAGGTTTTTCTGCATAAAGCTCTCATAACCTTTAGATGATCTTGACATGAAAACGGCCTCAAGTGGAAGCATTAAAATACTGGCTTGTGATAAACAATTATCATCTACTCTATCTACTCTATCTTTGTGCTGGTGAATGAGGAAAAAGATCAGTATAGTATGTGGGACAGAAGCACCTGACTGTGAATCTAAACTGGTTTAAATCAGGGGTTCTCAACCAAGGGTCCCTGAGGGGGTTCCAGGGGGTCCCCAGAAAAAATATTTTCATATTATAAATACTATTTCACTGACTGAAAATTGACCAATAAGAGAATATATAAGTATGACTGTACTGTTCATAGGTTTCACACTCTTCACTTTTAATCTGCCAATCTAGTTATGGAATAACTAAATCTTATCAGATGGGAATCCCTAATACTACATCTTACCAAATACAGGTCTGCAGCCTGATGTGTATCAATGTTGATACCAAAAAGGTTGAGAACCACTGGTTTAAATGACTCACACCCACCCTGAGCATCGACATCAACCCAGTTAATCAGGAGACAATGTCTGAGATTAGTGTGTGTTTGATAGTGGTTTTGTTTGGTCAAATTGGAGTTGTATTAATGTGCAGTCTTCTCTATACAGAGCCATCAACAGTGCGAGAACACAGTCCATCTAGTCACATAAGGGGACATAGACAGTAGGCTCATTTCAGTAAGGTACATTAGTCCAGTTTCTCGGCGATCCGTCCCATCTTGGTGCGCATGTTGCGTACGAGGAAGAAGACAACGGTGGCGACGGCCATTATCACCTCAGCTATCCAGAAAGCCATGTCCCAGCTGTATTGTTTGGCAATAGTGCTGAAGGGAAGCCCGGCCATAAAAGCCCCCACTGTAACAAAAGCAGTAAGACAGTTTAGTCATATGAATGAGTCAACGCTGGAGTACTACAGCGAGTGATACAGATGTTTCTGTTGCTTGTGTGAGTCTGCAGCTCACCATTAGCCATCAGAGCTACAACAGCATGAGAGGTTCCACAGAAATTTGAAGGAGCGCTTTCACTGGCTATCACCCCGAACAAGGCAATTGGTCCATAAGAAGAAAATCCAAACAGAGCACCGAGGGAGAGGATCCAGATCTGCGGATGACAAGAAGAAAATGTGAAACACATGTTAGTGAAGGCTTTCCCAACATTCAGTACATTGAATGTTTATCCTCATGAACGTAAATGTTTGAGCGTACCTCTTTTTCTGACACACCAATGAGGACAGAAATGGGATGAATGACTTGGACCCAAAGAGGAGCCTCCTGAGCAAAGAGAATCAGATTAATCTTGTAATATTTCAATACTGACAACATGTACATGTCAATCATTTTACACAGTATAAAAAGGATGAAGCTGCTATTACCTCTGGGATTTCAGGTGTGATGGTGACTCTGAAGAGGTACATGGACACATACATACCGGCCATCATGAGAATGAGCAGGCCATGGCGAGGGTTGCCATGGGTGCCCAAGCCTTGCTGGAGGAAGAGAGGATGTTTTTACCACTGACCTCTACACAATAATCACAGTCATTTTTGCCTGATTTTATCCCCGTCTGTGACTCACCCGAGATACAGCTCTGTCAGTGATGAAGCCTGATGCGAGGCTGCCCACAAAACCTCCCACCTCCAAGGCACTCATGTAGGTACTGCCTGTGAACAACACAGCAGATGTCAACACCCCTGACCAGTCTAATTAAATGAAAATCAATCAGTGGGAATCAGTGGACAATTAAAAATTCGTACCCATGAGAACAGTCTGGCCTTTCTCCTGCATGAGGAACAGCTGTCCCCAGTCGGTCGCAGCCGTCTTCACCCCAAACACCACCAGGTAGCCCAGAGACAGCACCCACAGGAAGGGAGAGAGGAGGAACTCACTCAGGGTGCTCTCGCTGTTGCCTGGTGGGTGAGTACACACAGGGAGATACGTCCACACAGAGATCAGCAACAGGTCAATATACATACAGTGCAGAAAGTGCACTTACTGAGTTTATGTCCATTCTGGCATAAAAGTAAAGAAAGAAAAATCAGTACTGGTTCCATTTTGGTATGATCTGTAGTTGTTACAGCATGATCAATACATGTTTCCCAAAAACATAGTAAAGACATTTTAAGGCCTAAAATTCATATTATTGGATTTTAGACTTTTTAAGACCCCACAGGCACTCCGTATAGGATCTGTTCAAAACTTTAGTTATGTCCACACTGCCATCTTCTGGTGAAAAAAGATTAAAGATGTATTTGTCACATACTGATAATTACAATATATGCAGTAAAATGCCGTCGTGCCATACTCTTAACTCTGAACTTCTACTTGCCGAATTTCCAGTGTCACAGGTCCAGGAAGGATGGATTAAGCGACTGATATTTACATTCCAAAAACTCCACAACAATTTACACAAAACACATTTCTGTGTTCTAGAGAGAAGAGACCATCATTGTGTAAGGTGTAACAGGCAGGCAGAGACACGTGTTCTACATGAAGGTTTTCACTGTTTTCATAGCTGAAAATGGTCATTCTCTTGATTCCCTTGATTGATCAGTTATTCTGCTGGTGGCTTGATGTCGCAACTTTAGCTGTTGAAGTTTTGTTGTCATAGTAGCATTTTACTTTTTTTAATTAAGCTAATTGGTTTCACGTGTGCTCAAGATGAACATATATTTCTTTAAATCTTCATGCGTGATTTTTACAGTCAACCTTTATTTCTTTTAATGCCTTTTAAATTCAAGCTTCTAACTAAGGTAACGTTCTTGCTAACTCTGGCTACAAGCAGCTCAACTATGTGTGTGAGGTGACATGATAGCGGTGTGTCACTTTTTCAGTGATCGTTGAAATATTGCTTCAGGTCCAAATTAAATTTGATGCTGCAGTCTGCCTATTGAGTATGTGGGATCTATGTGCTAGTATTAAAATGTTAGAGGGCACATTTTCATTAAAGGAAAAATATAAAAAATGCGCATATGTGTAATTTGTAGGCAAACATAATAAAAGAAAATTGTATACGCTCAGAAAGATGCTCTGGAGTTCATCATCCTGGTGGTGTGAGAGGAGAAGCTCTTTCTAAGTCTCTCTGTTTGGAGGCTTTTGTCTAAGTGTAGAAGCTGCAATAGCCAATAAAGTCACAAAGCAGAGATATGGGCTGAATTTACAAAAAATATCACCCAAAACCTAACCTGTGTTAGAAGATCAGAATTTTCTGAGTTTACACATCTCTGCAAACTGTACCAGACACACAATAACTGTCATGAAATGACTTCAAACTTCATCTGTGCTATAAAAAGATTGTATCGTAAAGCACAATGTTTAATAGACTTGCCGGGACGGAAATGAATAAACTCTGGGAATTCATATAACTGCAACATGTAGACCTCAGTAACAGCCTTGCTTGGTGAAACATTGACTGACTTTAATGAAAACACGAAATGGGGGAGCAGTTGTTATTGATGAGGTGCTAACTGCTCTGCCTGCATGTGGGATGTGGGTGGACATTATTGATGTCGGGTAGAGAATCATTATCAATGACTGCCTCTCCCTGATCTGGATAGTTATCTCAGCATGCATAGCTGAGATACACAGTTTGGGGTTACATTGGTAACTGTGTAGGTAGTTACAATCCATGACACTCAGGTGGTTAAGTAGTGATTATGGTTGTTGTTTGGGAAACACACCTCAAGTCCAGTCTTGAGCACTGATGTTCACATTCAGGCCCATCCACGTAGTAGGCAAGTGTGTTCCATGTCTTAATAAATCTAACACACAGTACACCTAATTTGTGGCTCAAATGATTAATAGATTTTTCTGTATTAGAGATGCACCGATTGGGAAATTCTGATGCCGATAGCGATGTTTTTGTTGTTATTTATTCACCTTTTGTGCCAGGGAAACAAAGAAATCTACAAAGATAAGCATCTCTGCCTTGTTGCAGTCTGTTTTTCTTCTCATCCAAGATGTGAGACAGCCACTCACTGTCTGTGCTGCTGCATGGTGCACATTGGTGTCTGTGTGACATTTGTGCCAGTGCTGGAAAAGGTGATTATTTCTCCAATATCCAATATATCAGTAAGTTGGAAATAACCAAGACAACATTTAACCAGTGCAGAATTGATGCCACACAACAGATAAACATCAGCCACTGACATCAGTCAGTCAGTCAAGGCGAATATCGGCCAATGCTGACGTTCGGTCGATAATTAGGCGCAATCCTATTTCTTGTCATTCTAATACCATTAAACAACTTATTAACTAATTAGTTTAAGGTCCAGCGTGTGGGATTTAGTGGCATCTAGCAGTGTAGTTGCAGACTGCAACTCTGGCTTCATCAGGTGATTACACACTAATGACAACATACCTATGGATATTACTTGGCCCCAAAAACCTTAGAGACTCACTGTCCACAGATATAGTTACTCTAGATGTACCTATTACCTTGGCCTCTAGCACCACTGTCAGGAATCTTGGAGTTATCTTTGATCAGGATTTGTCATTTAACTCCCACATAAAGCAAACCTCTAGGACTGCCTTCTTTCATTTACGTAATATTACAAAAATTAGACACATCCTGTCACAGACAGATGCAGAAAAACTAATCCATGCATTTGTTACTTCTAGGCTGGATTACTGCAACTCTTTATTAGCTCCTCTCTTCCTCTCTCTCTCTGCACTTATTCAGGTCCCATTAATGCATGTTACTAACTTCACTTCTTCCCCGGAGTTCTTGTGCTTTCTTGGCTTGCAGGTTCTTATCGATCCAGGTGGAGCCTCCTGTCATGGTCCTGCTAGATTGCCATTACCAATACTGTTGTTGCTGTGCGTCTGTCTGTCTGTCTGTGTCTCTCTCTCTCCCCCCCCCCGTTGAGACAGACGACCACCCACCTAGGCCGGGATCTGTCCTAGGTTTCTGCCTTTTAACAGGCAGTTTTTCCTTGCCCTTGTCGCCAAGTGCTTGCTCATGGTGGTACTGTTGGGTAAATAATGGGATAAAGAGTTCGGTCTAGACCTGCTCTATTTGGAAAGTGTCCTGAGATAACTTCTGTTATGAATTGGCGCTATACAAATAAAATTGAATTGAATTGAATTATATTCCATTTCTGCCAATAGATCCTCCTTAATGTTACACACTGGACCTTTAAATCTGATTCAGCTCTAATTAAATAACATATCCTTTTCTCAATAGTCCAACCTGCCCCTCGATAACTCTGTTTAACTGCTTTTCTGGTTCTGTGGTCTGCTCCCCTGACTGCGAAGGGTCTGTTTTACAATCAAGTACTTATTTGTTAATTAATAACTCAAATAATAAATAATTTGGGAATTAAATATCTGTTCTTGCACAAGCTACGGGATATCCTCTTAATGTATGTCCCGTGAGCTGATAAACCTCCCACACACTGCAGTCTAAACGGGCACTTGGGTACTGGGGCAGTTACAAAAACTTCGTCATACAAGCAGGCACTTGATTACTCTAACTCTAAGGGAGCTATCTTGGCAACATGTGACCGACATGATTTGAGGCAACCATCTTCTTGACTTACCTCCCTTAGCCCCCTTCTTGGCTGCTGCCTCGATGCTGGGCAGGCCCACATCCTTCGGCTCATTCTTTACAAACACCAGACAAACAAATGAGAAGGCAGCACAGAAAGCGCCTGACATGGTTAGGATAGTCCTCCAGTCGTAGTACTGCAGGAGCACAGTGACCAGGATTGGACCCAGACTCCCTGCCAGGTTCATACTGCAGGACAGCACAGACCACCATGTTCCAAACTGGGACGGCTCAAACCACTGAGGGAAAAGAGACAAAGGAGAGAACAAACCAAAGACTTGTCAACATTTCCAAAATCCTACAATGGTCAAAAAATGCACTAATACCTTCATATGCATTTTTACAGCTATGTATATATTTATATATTGTTGGTTAAGTTTCACTTCCCTGAAGCAACTCAGAGGTCAGGCTCAAAAACATGCTGATCCACTGTATTTAAATATTTTTAAAAAAGGTCCAGTGTGTAACATTTAGGAGGATCTATTGGCTGCAATGGAATATAATATCCATAGCCGTAGAGTGAGCGGTTTTTATCTACAGAGTCCGCCATATTGAACCACATTTCTACAGTAGCCCAGAATAGACAACCTAAACACTGGCTCTAGATAGGGCCTTTTGGGTTTTTCGTGGCCACCATATTTACATTACAAGCTGGAAGGCAAACAGTATTCAGCTGGTTGCATTCTGCAGCTTCATCGCAAGATGCCACTGAATGCTACACACTGGCCCTTTAAGAGGATATTAAGGCAGAGACAGTACAACAGACCTCTTTTTTCCAACATGCAACACTGTTCAGATTCTTCTCTTTTTTACTGGTTCTGGAGAAATGGTGTCAGAACCACACACCCTTGTGATGTAATACAGCTGAAGACAGCCAGAAGCAGTCCTCACACACCATACCCCACAGAGCAACAGAGTAACCAGTAACTTGAGAATCCACTTGGTAAACACTTTGAGCGGCCCATAAGCTGATTTAACTCTGTGCTGATCCACAGTGTGTGGATGTTGACTTAGCTGTGGAACAGGAACTGCAGAGCTGTGGCAAACTGATGCCGACTTGAAGATGTTTCCTCTCACTAGAGAAGGAAAGCACCTGTAAGTTGTTTTTCTTTTGGAAAGATCTGCTGAGGATCTTCTATAAATACATTCTGCTGTAATCTGATCCCCTTCAGCACTAACCCATGCCAAAGCCTATTTATTCCCCACATTTGAACACTGCTACTTTTAAGGCAGCTACTCACAAGCCTCAAGCAGTCTGTGAGCATAGACCAGCAAAATGTGTTTACGTCAGGTCTTGTCTAAAATGCATACCATTCACCAGACTGTAATGATCTAAAAGCAGTCTGTGAATGAGGCCAACTATCACTTCCAATATCCCCGCTTTGGACTTGAACAATCAGTGTCTCATACAGCTCACACAGGCTGACTCCTCAAACCAGGCAGTGCTTCCTCTGGCCCAAAGGTCAGCACTGTCTGACAGCAAGGAACTGGATTCCTTCAGATGCTTCCAACAACCAACAGACAGGTGCACTTCCTCCCCCACAGTACAGCGCGAAAACACAGACAATATGTCTGGCAGCAGGTGGCTCCCACTCCGGGGTTACACACTTTCACAAGCTGGCATCACAAACAGCCTGCATGTTGAGAGCAGGACTTCCCTTGGCTCTCAACATCACAGTGAATGAGGGATCTGGGTTGCAGGAGTTGGCAATTAGGATGCCATTACCTTGCGCAGAACCTTCCCACACGGGGGCCAGCCACAGCCTTGTCCCAGGCCGTTGATGAACCAGAGCAGTGAGAACATGGGCACAGTGGAAGACCAGGAGAAAGCTATGTTGATGCCCCCCACCAAGAAGAGGCCGATGGAGAAAAGCCAGCGGGCACTGATCTGATCCGACAGCACACCACTGATGAACTTACTGATGGCGTAGGCCATAGTCTGGCTGCTGGTGATCATACCTGCAGACACAACGGGAAGGCTGGTGTTAATGTAATGAACAGAGAGAGACTATATCACAGGAGACAAGGGCTGTAGGTTTGTACTCATGAAGTTGGATGATCATTTCACTACCAAGAATATAAAATCAGAAATTGTGTCCAGTAACTCATGACTTCCAGAGGATGAATCCTACTGGACCTCTAGCGCCACCATGAGGTTGACATTAGTGGTTAAAGTGATATAATACAGATATTAAAACAAAGGAAAGTCCAGTATCATTCCATTATTCAGTCCCTCCAGAAAAACGCGATTATGCGATTGTATAATTCAATGCATAATCAGCCAAAGTCCGCATATTTATGTGGGGGCCGCATTTTTTCAAATACGCCGCACTTTCGCGGCATAAATTGACGATTTCTGCGCAAAATATGCGGGGTTTGCATGATTTCATAATCCCCGCATTTTCGTGGATTCACATATATCTTAGCAGAAAGTTGAAAAATGTTGCGTTTACTTCACACAATGGGAACGTTATGAAGTGACGTAATTACGCGACGTGAACATCATCGAAAAGCTGCAAACCCCGCGATGAAGCCATGATGAAGCCCGCAAATCAGTCTCATACTGTATTTATTCATTTTTACAGAAGTTGTAGCACATTCCTTTTGTAAAGCTACAGAACTTGTTTGACTCATCAATGTTTTGTAAGTTTGAGCCATGTGTTTATTAAGGTCTGAAATAAAACAAGATGAGAACTTAAATATTCCCAGCACTTTCTGTGATGTAGTATGCTTGCTTATCATAGGAAGTAATAAGAAATGACTCTTTACATTAAGGTAGTAGCCTAGTGAGAACAGGGTGTTGGAGGAATCACTTTTTTTTCTGTTTTTCATCAAACGGCAGTTTTTGCAAGTTCCCGCAATTTCATCGCATAAAATTGCATAAATATCCCGCATATTCCATCGCATTTTTTAAGAAAACGTGCACGCATAATCAAGGATTTTTGCCCGCAACAATCACAAAAAAACTGGAAGGACTGATTATTTCATCCACTTTACAATCTAATATACACTATCATCTTTTATACATTACTGAAATAGAAAAATACATTGGGATTTGGTGTAGATTTCAGAATGTGACTGGTATTATTGGGAGAGCTTTGTACAGTATGTCAGAAGTAACATCATTCAAATGCATTCATATTCTATATTATCACATAATATATATTTAATGCTAGCCTGTAACTGTCTTAGATTAGATTGGCTGTCATTTGGAGAAATGTATTAACAAAAAAAAAAAATGATAATGGTTGGCAATTTTTCCCCTTTCCAACTGGGTGGGGTTGTTTTTATTGTTATGTGCCATATTGATTCTTTATTGGTCCATTCTTTATTAATTCTATAGATTCCTGATATTTTCTGTGTGGGAAAAAAAAATTTTTCAACAATTATAAAGTTATTTAAGTTTTCTGCTATGCCTGCCTACTTATTGCTTATGTTCTTATACCAGGATATCTACCCTCAGTAACAGACAGACTGCTTGGCTGGGAAGCAGTGGCACTTGTGCGTGTCAAATAAATGGCTCGGAGGCATACAATTCCAATGGATCAGACCATTTGGAATCAGGTCTCGATTCCCATCCCATTCCAAACCTCACAAGGGGGAGCGCTAACATCGTTCCAGAGCAGCCACACTGACAAGGCTGCCTGCAGATGTGTCTGTAGACATTTTTTGTTAATCAGCCTCATGAGCGCAGGCATCAACCAATGCCAATTATTAATAAATGCCAGATAATCGGTCAGCCACTAAGATTTGGTTTAGCCGTTAATGTCCTCCACAGGATACACTGTAATACCTCTAGTGATCCTCTGACTATTATCATCATCATGTCAAATCTTTTGATTGTCGGATACTTTGGTTTATACTAAATACCTGCAAAACTAATGACAATTCCATTAGCCTAAGCCGTACTTTGTGTTTAATGCTAATTAGAAAAAGGATAGCACACTAGAGCACAGTTGTGTGCCTTTTAATAGTGGATTGAATCCATTTCTTTTCAGCTATATTTAAAGTGTTACAGCTTTTCATTAACGTCAAGTGTAATGATCAGAAACCTCTGTCATAAGTGGGACTGAGCCTAAACAGTTACTTCACCTCCTGAACATGAAATGTATTGATGTCTAATCCAACATTTTGCAATGTGGAGGGTGAAGCTTAAGAAGACTAGAAGCAGTTTAATCTCTGTGTCCATAGTGCATGTGTGTGTATGTGTACTAAAACTAGGACAGATTTAGGAATTACTGCACAATGTTTCTGTCAAACAGTAGCCTCTTTACAGACCTAATCATTGCTTAAGGCACTGGTTTTCAAACTGGGGTCTGGGGACCAACATGGTTCCTTGAATGTGTTGTAGTGGGCCCACAGCAAAAGGAGGAATAGTATAATTGAACTTTTATAAACATTTTTGGAAGTTGGAAAAAGGGAAGAAATCGAAAATCGAAATTGGCTATTGATTGTAATTTATAGTGATCCTAGTGAGATCATTGATTGACTATGCAGACAGTCTGAGGTCTAATATGCATCTATTGTGAGGGTCCTTGGTTTGGGAACCCCTGTCTTAACGAAATATTTCTTTAACCAGACAAAGAAAAGCATTAATGCTACTGTCTCACCCAAGTCATCTTTGTCCAGTTCAATCTCCTCCATCACAGAGGGCATGACGAAGGAGAAGGTCTTCCTGTTGAAGAAGTACAGCGAGTAGCCGATGAACATGCAGAGGAAGATGGCGGTCCGGTAGTAGCCATAGCCTGTGGCCCCCATGATTACACTTGACTGAGCAAAAACAAAAAAAGGCACACAACTTCAAGGATGATGAAGAAAAACAATAATTAATTCCTCTTTTCTTCAGTGGAGTCTTGATTTGGGTCCTCTGGCATCTAAATTATAGCTAATCAAGCTGAGAGCTGTGCTGTTATCACCGGCCGCTGTTGGACTGTTCTTAGTAAAAAGTCAACACCATCAACTACTTGTTTGCTCTGGCACAAAGGAGATATGAATCAAGATGTGGCATCGGCTGGGCTGCACTGTTTAAATATGTCCCGCGAGGAGAACTGCTCTTGTACAGCACTCCTCTCGTGGGCTGGTAGCTCTATCTGTGAGGCTGCTGCTTGTAGAAGCCAGGGCAGAGGACGGAAGCCTTACACCAGCCTGAAAAGGAGAAGAACGTAACAAACACCACTTAACATATAAATACAGTAGCAAACAATTATTAGCCATGTAAAGACATAGCACACTCCCATAGCCTGTGTTGTTATCGCAGCCTGTCCTGTGCTGGATTCAGTATCAGGAAGGAAAAACTGGTATCAATACATCTCTATGTGCAACTGAGTAGAGCGACTAAAACTGCAGTTTTTCTCTTCTACATCTACTAAATGTTGTCAGACACTTTGTCACTGAGGATTATCACCGGCCGATGGAAGCTATTGTAGTCCGTGTCACTGCTACTTTCTGTTTTCTGTTATCTAACTCGGGGGAATTAAGGATTTATTTAGACCAAATCAGAATGAATTGAAACACTGTGGAAAGACTAATAAAGACTTTAGTGGCTACTGTAGAAGCATGGTGGTTCAACATGGCAGCCTCCATGGAAGGTGACCCATACTTTCTGTCTAGTTCATAAGCACGCATTCTTTGAGGGGGACGTGTGCCCCCCCCATGAAAAATGATACTGATATTGAACAATGTCTATAATGTGGCTTTGGTTTCTGTAGATATAAAAAACTCATTCTAAGGTAAACTCGATTCTTATGTTCAGTTGATTACACACCAATACAAACACAGTTAGTGCATATCCAATTCCTCATAAATGTTTACACTGGAGCTCTACTTTTAACAAGCTAAATGGGCAGATAAGAGCTCATTCAATAATATATAGTTTGGACACAATGCCAGACCCTTTACACAGAGACTTGCAATCAAATCATCATTTAATGGGTGAACACAAGTCTTCATGATGAAAGTACAAACTTTTCTCTGCAGTACAGCATGTGCAGTTGCCAGTGTTCAGATAGAGGGCTCTCTCCCTGCTGGAGGCTGTGATGCTGTGTGGTGGTCAGTTGACCCAGACACCTTGTTATTTACAGCCCCTCAGACGTCACAGGTTCAGGTGCGGCCAGGTCCGGGATACATTGACACTGGACCTGCAGCTCAGCTCGTTCTGTGGTCCACTGCTCATATAAATGTCAGAAGTCGTTACTTTAACTGCCACGGACATCTGGTTCGGACTGGAGGTCTCCAGTCAGCAACCCTGCAGATATCAGGTGTCTTGCACAACTTAAACTTAGAAGAAGTGACGCAGCTGACCTTTTTACACATATAGAAGTTAGGAGGAAGAACGAGGACCTTAAATGTTCTATAAGGCAGGAACATCTGTGCTGTGTTAGCCGTTACTCCTAAACCAAATACGTGCTCCACCATCAAACCATTTCAACTCACCGAGCTTCCACACAGAAACACAGTGTATTGAACAGCATTACACATCACAGCAGACCGCCTACTTCACCCAACAGGACCGTTCTTGCTAACTTTGGTACAAAGATGCCCTCAGTTACTCGTGGCGAACTGATTTATGGGGCGGTTCGGGTGTTGGAGGGTCCTTCGGGCCTACGTTTGACCAAATGCCGCCATAAAGCAAGACACATCGATGCTGTCCGCCGTGGGCCACAGCCGTTTACCGCCCGGCTGCCACACGGGATGAGGAAATGCCTGTAAAGCTGGTTACCTTTCATTCGCGTCCCTCTCGCTGATTCCATGCATGCAGAAGGGCGACGCGCGTTCATGAGTCTGCAGCTTTTGAGCGCGTCCCCGTGACACAGCTAAGCCTCCGTGGCACAAGCGGCCAGACACTGCTGCAGGGTACCGTTTCAAATGTTGCACCACCATTCGTGAATGCATCTACTGCAATGGTCGAGTCCAAACCTGGTGGGATTCAGGTCAATTCCGACGCAGCCAAACTCCATTTAATATTTGCATTATTTTACTTTAAATGTGTATTTCCTCACCATGCAGACATCATGGAATCTTGTATGATCTGTAAGGAATCAGTCGGACCTGTAGATTAATTCCGCATTATCGACTTTATTTATATTATTTATACTATACGGATTATTCAATAAAATCTCAATATTTGCTGCTCACTACTGCCCCCTCCTGACTGCTGTGTGTTGTGTACTTTCAGAATGAAATGAAAAAGAATGATGTACTGATTCTGTAAGGTGTGAATTAGTGCAGCCCTACTTCATGTCTGTGGAGTAGCCCACCTTACTCAGCTGGCACTGAATAAAATTAATTTTAAGACACACAAAGAGATAACGAGCCAAATACCCCACCCCATCCAACCCTGAAACTGTAAAAAAAAACATTCTCATCTCGAACAAAGGTTTGAGGAGCATGGTGAAATACCATCCTTAAAGATGCAGTAGGTAACTTTTATAAAAATAACTTTTTGTCAAATTTACTGAAACTTTCACTATATCCGGGCAGTAGCACACAACACAGATAATCAGAAAAAATCATGTTCCTCTGGCTCCTCCCAGTGCTGACCAATCAGAGCCAAGAAAGATAGCTGATCGTTGACTCAACAACAGCATATCTTTAAGCCAACAACCCAAAGTGTCTATCTTTTATTTTTTAGTTATTCTCACAGCTGGAACATTTTTTATTCATTTAGGATAGCATGTGCTTTATACAGTCACATGTCAAAATGTCCGCTGTGAAAAAGGCCTATTGACTTTCCCTTGCTTCACTACTGGTTTTCTGCGTTCCTCTCTTGAAGTAATGGCTGGTATTTGTGGTCCATTATAAAGTCTTTGTGCTCCTTTGTTGTTGGTATGTCTTGGTGAAGTCACAATTTTTATCCATGATGGAGTCATTATTAGTGCAGTAAGTATAGTAAATGGTTGACCAGAGTTTTTGTAGTATACAATATATATATATATTGTTCAGTATTGGCAGTCTGAATAGCCCGACACAACCACTGTCCACCCACACCAGTGTAAGGATGGGAACTGATAAGATTTTATTGATACATTTTGTACATATTAATGTCCAGTGTGTTACATTAAGGAGGATCTTTTGTCAGAAATGGAATATAATATTCACAGGTACGTTTTCATTAGTGTATAATCACCTGGAAATAAAAGTTGAAAACTAGTTTTTTAGCACTAGTCAGTAACTGTTGGAGATTAGAGTGTCTGTCAGGAGAAACGTGTGAACAGTTAGATAAAACAAGCAGGATGCATGTGCGTTATAGTACAGGGCTCACAGCTAACTTTTCCACCACCTCTCCAAACTCTGGGATGGTAATTGAAAAAAGTTTTATTGACACCATTTTATTATATTGATATTGATGCCATTATCGATTCTGCTCATCAGCCCAATTCTTTATGTATTCCATTATTGATTCCTGATCAGTTTTCTGTGTGGCCTACACAGGTAGTCAGTGCATCTGCTTTATTGTGAACATAGTGTAAAAACATAGAAGAAAAAGGCCTGAATGTGTCCTCAGGTGAGTAAAAGCTCCACAGTTTTTACTCACTTTGTTTAATTTGGAACCGGTTGTCAACTGGAACCAGTTCTTAATTCCCATCCCTAAATATTTGTACAGCATTCGTTTTGCTAGTCAAATAAAAAAATCTGATAAGCATGCCTGTTATTATACTATATTTACCCTCAGTACCAGTTATGCAGCTCAGTTAGGAAGAAATGGCACTTGTGTGCAGAGTGTCAAATACTGGCATTTCCTGAATTTAAGCCCATGTTGAGTAGAAAGATGTTTCAGCGTTTCTCTTTTTTCCACCTTTACTTGAACTGATCATTCTGTAGACATTTCAACTAGCACTGCTCATCTTTCTTCCTCTCCGCCACGACTCCTTCTTGCTGCAAATTTCTAGCAGTGCAGAAGCATCAATAAAAGGAACTGATAAGCTCGGAGGCTATTCCGATGGATTAAACAATTTGGAACCGGTTTTGGGTTCCCATCCATACACAGCTGTTGTTAATGAGTGTGGCTGACTCCACTGCATGTACAGACTGTGAGGCTGGAAAACAAATGAGAAAAAAGGGGGAGAGGGAAAAGAAAGAGACAAAAAGAAACATTAGAGAGGATATTCAAACAGAGACACCTCAGGTTGGGGAGCTCATACCTTAAAAATAGTGTGTGGAGTTTAACAGCCTCCATTTATTCACAGAAAAACTCCACATAAATTTAACCTGAGCATCCACAGTAACTGAAAACACATAGCTGTGGGGCCTATTCATGTAGTCTCAATCTGTGCCACATATATTACCAATATAGAGCGTAGGATAAACTCTTAGTTTTGTTTCTTCTCTATACCATTTCTACAACAGTGATTTATGTGCACATGCACTTCTTGCCAACAGATGGAGCCAAAGTAATGTGTTGTTTGCAGTGGATGCATTAGACAATGAAAGAGACAGTGTATCAGTGGATTTATTTTTCGTGTGCAATTTAACAGTATTGTGCATTTGCCTCTGAATAATCTGGAAGAATGTAGATGCATGTTCCAGGAGGCCATACAGACATTTGTATGGAGAGAGATCAGTTCAGATAAATGAATCAAACTGTTATGTGTCTATTTTCTGTTTTATGGATGTCATGGTGTTTGTTTCTTGTGAGATTTTTTTCTCTTAAATCCTTTAATTATCATCAGCGAGTTTGGGCTAAACTGTTAATACATTGGAGGCCCCCTAACGAGGAGGAAATGTACCTTGATATTAATAAGTTACTGTTGCTAATTACAGCAGAGATTCTGCATAGATGACTTGAAATGACAAATTATTCTTTTTTGCTTGAGAACGAGGCTTTACGTCCTTCACGTCTGAGAGGTCTTTGGATTTCAGTTACAGAGTCTGAAACCTTCTCAGCACCTGCTGAAACAAACGTTGGACTCACTGTGCTGATCAACGAGTCTGTCAGACCCTCACAGATATGGCATTTGTCATTTCTTATATGTTGTAGAAAATGAAAATGGAATATTCCTTTAAAATCTAGCTCAGTGGTTTGTACTGCAAATTAAAAAAGCAATAAATACAGTTTGTTCAATGATGCCATACTCTGTTTTAACAATTACATCTGTTGATTGTGACAGAAGCAATACTACATTGAACTGCAAGAGAACTTTAAATACAGATAAGTGCATTATCAAACCTCCTGTAAGTTCTTTTGGATTTGTCCAAAAAAAGTGACGCACTGTATGCTTCTTATCGTAGGTCATAGCTGTTACTGCAGTTTATTTACTGATGATATTTGTGGCTTATCAATACTGTTCACATGAAGGTAACAGCAGGTTTCTGTTCACACCAAAATGAACAGGGTTCCCATGCGTCCTGGAAAATTTGGAAATTTAGAGACTAGTGTTCCAGTCCTGAAGACACCTTGAAAATTATTAAAATTACCAAATATCCTGGAAATAAACTATGTAGTCCTGGAAAATCTTAATTGTATCTTCCCTCATTCAGATTGCCAATGTAAACCTTGGTTAGAGGCAAACTGTAGTAAACTGTCCTGTATTGTCAAGAAAATGTCCTGGATAGGTCCTGCGGGTCCTGGAAAATGATTTCTTAAAAAGAGTGGGAACCCTGATGAAGTCTGATTAAAACCCTTTGAGTCCCTGGCCAAAAATTGTGTTCCATTTCCAGCTATCTCCCTCTCAAAGTCTTTTATTAGCTTCAAATGATGTATTACACATTTTATTTTTTGGAATAACCAGGACTATTGGAAAATTAAGATTTAGGAATATTTGTAATTCAGATTTGGAGTATGTAGAATTTTGGTTCAACTTGCTAGAAAATATATTTTATTAGAATTGTGAAGGTTAAATATGACATTACAGAACAGCAGCACAACTAATGAGGTTGTCGGTGAAATTGACAGCAACTATGAGCTCTCAACAGCATCATAACAGTCGAAAATGTATAAGGGACAATAACAAAGATTTACTCTGAGCAACTTGTACTTGGTTTTACTAAATTCAAACAATGTCACTGACCTTTCTGACTTCACAGAAATTGAGGCTCAACACCTAGAATGGGAATAGTTCACTAAAGTATCATAACCAATGAATAACACAGGCAACACTTTAGTGAACCCTGTATAGCCACATTAGGAAGAATGGGACACATCCAAAGGTAGTGCTCAAATGCTCTGTGGTTACAAAGAGTGGTTACAATCAAGTGTTCATTTTGTCCATAAGGACCAGAGCAATTGATGTTCCATATTCCTTACTCCATACACCAACCTATCTCGCACATAATAACATTACATATCAAATGCTTCTCACCCAAACACGCACACACAAAGTCAGCTCTCCCTGCAACAATACCCCTTATTCAGCAGATCTAACCTCGACTCGCAGAGTCTTAATATATGTCATCACATGCATTATGCTTTCTGTATGTTCTGTCTGTTTTAATTTACCTTTCATGTCCCTCTTTGTTTTATCACACTATTTCACCCATTAAAAAAAGTGAGTGGGATAGGATGTTGCACTGGGACTGGTCTAGATCTGCATTTCAGCTCCATCTAGTAGTAGAGCAATGATTAATAAGATTTAACCCTTTTGTCAGTGTGATAAATTATTCAAATTACTTTACCAAGTACTTATCTGATATGATTTTCCTTTTTCGGAACGCC